AAGGAAGACAGAGCTTGAACCAATTTAGTTCACATTGGCTTTGTCAGCTGCTTGAATTAACATAGTACTCCTAATTTATCCTGCTTAGGGATTGTTTGGTTTGACAGGGGTATAGTCTTGGTTCTTCTGAACCATGACTGGCTATGCTCTGTCCACCTAAACACTTTTCCTTAGTGATCTGTGTTTTGGCAACTGTCTCCTTTTTCTCAGCTCACTTCATCACTGCTTGTTTGTAAAAGGCCTGCCTATAATTGCAGAGACTTGGAACTTACACATTAGCTTCCAAATAGGGACTGTGTAGCAGCACTCTCTCAGCAAGATAGTTAGGAGACTAAAGGCATATGAAGCTGGTGTCCTGCTGGCCTGGAGCAGCCCTGATGCTGACCTTTCTCTTGTTTGCCCACAAGCAGACAGCCAGAGTGGGGAGAGAAGGAGGAGTCAGACCTTCATCCTGAAGAGACAAAAGCACTTACAGTGAGTACAGTTATTAGAAACCAGCTTTCCTATTCCTTCATTGAAGAGAGAAAACTACAAAAGAGAAGCAGTTCTGATAGAGTGTAGCTGGAATTTTTGCTTTCTGATTTGGCTTCAGAACACTCTTCTGATTTAAATAGGTCTGTTTTTGAAAAGTATTCTGCTGACATCAACCTTCTTCAATCCAAAACTTATGGACTGCCAGACAGAAAGAACTGATGATAAATAAAACAGGGAAAATCTTCCCAAAAATCAAGAAGGAAAATAAAATGCTTTAAAATTGTTTTTAACTTCAGCATTTGCACTTTAAACATTGCCTCTTCTTTAGAAGAGAGGAAAGGATTTGATGGATGTTATTTTTAACAACAGCTGGGATAAAGGTGGTATTATCTCTCTGCTGGAAAGGTGACCAAAGACAAGCATTTGCTAAGGGGAGGCTACAGGGCTTCCCCAAAGCTGGTTGATCATTCCTCTCATATCGTCTTGGAGTTAGAGCTATTACTTGGTGGGTACCTGTGTGCACTTGGCCTGATGCTTTCATTTGTATAGTTAGTGGGTTTGTTTGTTTTATTTCTTTGTGACTAGAAGGAGTCTTTTCCTTTACAAATTACTTTTTTCAAAATAGAACATTTATATCATTTAGTATAGACTTGTGCTGAATTATCTCCTATTTGTATTTAGATGGAGTGTTTAATTTGGTTGGACAAACAAGCTTGAAGAATCAACATAAAGGAATCAAAATTATACAAAAAGGTTGTTAATATCCTCAATATTTTGAAGCATTTTCTTTGAATTATAAATTTATATTATTAAATCAGATCTAATTTTGCAAAAATCAGAAGTAGAGTGTGGTCACCCATAGGTACTACATTTACATGTGAACTACTAGAATTGAAAAATCTAATGTTTATATTAGTAACTGCCTTCCATGAAAATGGGTCAGTGACCCATTTTCTGCCATTTCCAATGCTTGCTATGCTGTTATGACACATGGAATACAATTTCTCAATGATAAAAATATATGTGAAGAAAAGCAAGTAGATAAAAGATGAAATGAAATTTGATTAAAGCACTGCTTTGTATAAGTTCCTTTGTTTACAGTCTGACTAGCTAAGTGTAGAAATATCACACACAGGTTGAAATCTGATATATGTATGAAATGTTTTATTCAGCTCTTTTGGAGCTCCCTGCTCTTTTCTCCTGTGTTGATTCTTGTGATTCACAACCTGTCCATTCTTTTATACTTTTGTTTCACTAGCTACTTTTAAACTCTGTCTTCTACACATAAAGCTACATCTGTGTTGCTCATCTTTAGTGATAAACTTTTAGAGAGGAGAATCTCTCATATTTGTTATTCAGGGAAAAATTAGCCACACATAGTGTATAAATAATGATTTTGCTGTTTTTAATGATAATATTTTCTTTTTGTTAAGTAAGACAGATTTTGTGCATTTGGCATAATGAAGGGCAACTACACAGCTCTCAGCATAGGCAAGAAGCTTCTAAGAGTTTGGCAATCTCTGGATTAATAACTATACAAGGTCACAGATTCTTACTGAGATCTTACTATCATCTGGTTTATTTATTTTCATTTTGTAGGTTAGGAAACCAAGGCCCAGAAATAGGGAGTGTTATGCTCCAGATCATATAAAACTACACTGTGCTTTCTTGGTATATAGCCTAAAGTTCTATATGGCAGTGTCTTAGGTTGACACATAATTCTTTGTTATATTCTTTAGTTTACAATAGAATAGGTATGCCAGAGAAGGCTCTGCTTTGATTTAGGAATTTTTTTGTGTGTGTCCAGTCCTGGAACTTGAACTCAGGGCCTGGGCATTGTCCCTACGCTTTTTTGCTCAAGGCTAACATTATAGCTCAGGTGGTAGATCCGGAAGCTCCACTTCCAGATTTAGGAATTTTAATCTAAGTACTACCTTTTGTTGCGCAAGTTTCTTTGGTAGGAGACTTGGGACAAGTAGATGAATGCAGGTGCATCTGAAACAGTTCAATGTGCACTGTTTATGGCATTTAGTTCTCCTCTAGGATAAATCTAGTTTTATAGAGGAGGAAATTACTGTGATAGCAATGTATTCTTCACTTACAACCATTTCTATGTCCTTGAACTAACAATATTTGTTAAACTTTAAATGTCAGGTTCCTGCTTTAGGATTGAGCTTCTTCACTGATCCTCCACACAGGAGGATATTGGTTAATAATTTATAAGTGTTTGGGAAAATCTAAACCAGGCTTGTCAGATGTTGGGTTGTATCCCTTCCAATGAAATTTGTTCCTTTTTTAAAAAAGCTATTATTATTACTTTAAAAGCCAAATACAATCATGGTTGAAAATATAGGCTCTTCATTTCTCCCTCTTGCAATCAGGCAGAGACAAGTGTTAAGATATGACCTAAAGCCATTTACTATAGCTGGTACTGATATGATAAACCTACTTTGTAATATATATCTTGGTTTTTGAACTAAATTTGCTTTTAAAAATTCATCTGTAAATATCATTATCATTTATTTCAAAAGTTAGGTGCTCATGAAATGAAGAAAGGAGATTATAATGCAGTATTGGAGGATTCTGAAATAACACAGTAATAACTTTATTTTATGTTATTGTTTTCTTTGGTACTTGGGTTTAAACTCAGGCTTTGCAGTTGCTAGGCAGATACTCTACCGATGAGTCATGCTTCTACTTTTTTTTTTTGCTGTATTTGAGATAGAATCTCTCTTTTTGCTTGCAGCTGGCTTAGATTTTAATACATCTATCTCATGGTTCCCATTTGAGCTGAGATGACAAGCCCTTACTACACTTAAGTGGTGGTAAGCTTGGCCTAGAATTGTATTTCTCCTATTCTCTTAATATCAGCCCACAGCTGACATGACAGGTGTAGACCACCGTGCCTAACTATTGATTGTGAAGGGAGTCTCAAAGGTATGCCCAGGATGGCCTCCAAATGCAATTCTTTTGTTCTTAGCCTCCAAAGTAGCTAGAACTATAGGGGTATGTCATCAGTTTGGGTGAGAATAACTTATTCTAAGACTTTGTGTGTTCAACAAATTTTACTAACTAGCATATTTCTGTATGAGCAATTCCAAGTTCTTGGCCAGACTGGGGGTTACTCTGATTCTTCTCTCCTATTTTTTAGATAAAAATAATTTTTCTTTTGTTTCAAAGTGAATATTAAGAATCTAAGGAAATATGAGCTACTTTCTGACAATCTCTTTAAATTTCTAAACTTTCTCTTGGCCACTTTTCATCTTTGTAGGAATGAACATAAAACTAACTTGAATGTGTAGAATCAGAGAAAGAAAACTCAAGGGAATAAAAATCCCCTTGAGTAAACGAAGCTGTTTCTGAGACTAAAAATAGCATCATGTAAAATTTTTATTTTTTAAAGTCCCAGAGCCTAAAGTTAATTGATATTAAATTGATTACAAAAGGAAGATAAATTTTACAGTGAAATTGTTAGTAAATCAAATTTATCTTTAAAAAAATCCTACCTTATTATGACTTGTACTTGTTACTTTCACCTATTTGAGTACCATTTTACTATATTATTTTTTCAGTGCAATTTATTACCCTTACAACTCCAGAAGCCTATAAAAATTTAATTTCTTAGGATTTTTTATATAGTCCGTGTTTTATGCTTTTCAGAAAATTACTGATTTGTAATCGCCTTATATCTATTTAACCAATTTCAGAAATGAACAATATCCACACATATTTTTCATAATTACGTTTTTTCTTCACTAGTTAAATATTAAATATGTTGGTTGCCAAATAATATTTGATGTCCATAGTAAGAGAAAGAGTGCGTACAGGAATTCAGTCACCAGAAAACAGAGAAGCTACCTCTTGAGAGGTCAAATTGGAAGTCCTTCTTAGAAAGCCAGCAACTGCAGGTGGATCCTGCCTAAAAGACGTGCAGCCCAGAATGTCTCTTGCACAGAGCTTTGAAAGGTAAAAACCACATAACCAGTGTGAGAAATGAAATCTAACAAAAGTGTTATAAATAAGCAGAGCAAACTAGATGAGGATACTTAAATCTAACAAAAGTGTTATATATAAGCAAAGCCAACTATCCAGGGGAAAAATAAGGGGCAATCAGGAACCAATTATCTAGGGGAAGGAAGACTTTCCTGGAGCTTAACAAATCATGACACATCTACAACCCAGAGAATGTCCTGTATCACCTCTAGAATTCTCAAAAAGTCCTTGTCTTCTGTTAAGACGCCGAGATGGCATTACTTAAAGCCAATAACCATATTTCAAAAGGAATGAGGGAGAATTGATATTTGGGTACACAGTACCACTATCATTTGTGTTATTCTTAATATGCTTGATCTTGGGACTAGCATGCAGAGAATCAAAATACCTCTTTTTTGTTTTTGTTATGAGCACTGGTTTCTTAATTTAGATATCTAGCTTAATTTAGAAATCCTGTTTCTTCTGTGAAATATCATTTCTTTATTTGGCAATCTCGTCTGACTCCTGCTTTCTCCTTTCCTCTTGCCTTTCAGCTGTTTTGGAAAGAAGTAAAGTTTAGACATCTCCATGTTAACGATGAGCGTGACACTTTCCCCTCTGAGGTCACAGGACCTGGATCCCATGGCTACTGATGCTTCACCCATGGCTATCAACATGACACCCACAGTGGAGCGGGGAGAGGGAGAAGAGGCCATGAAGGATATAGATTCTGACCAGCAGTATGAAAAACCACCCCCACTCCACACAGGGGCTGATTGGAAGATTGTCCTCCACTTACCTGAAATTGAGACCTGGCTCCGGATGACCTCAGAGAGGGTCCGAGACCTAACCTACTCAGTCCAGCAGGACTCAGACAGCAAGCATGTGGATGTTCATCTAGTCCAACTAAAGGTAAGGCAGGTTTGGGCTTAAGTTAACTCGGGACAGAAAAGGCTTGGTTCTATAATTACCAGTGAGGGTATGTCAAGGAAGATGCACAGTCTGAAACCATTATTCTTAAAGGTAAACATAGACAAAGTTAATTCTCTTTTGATTTTACTTCATGTATCAAAAATCAAACTGTCCTTTGGAAATAAAGATGTGGAGAAAGGGAGGGGCTTTTTTGCGCCGTGTCATAGAAATTATTTATAAAGAAAAAAATAGTTAAAAGCTATTACAAAAGGTTCAATGGAAGATTCATAAGTAAAACATCAAGCTGAACAGTGATTGTGAACATATATTTGTGATTGTTATTTGCTGTTGAAGCTGATTCTGGCATAGAGAGGAAGGGCATTGTTCTCCTGTTAAACCAGAGTGCTTTCATCCAGATACAATGAATGCATCATGCAGGGCAAAGGTATTTTTATAACAACTCATCAAAATCTCAAGCATTCTAAAAATGCCTGTGGCTTTTAGAGCTCTCTCTAGAAATCCTGACCATTGCAATAATGAATTGGAGGTGCTAGAGGTTTTTGTTTCGTTTTCAGGGGGGATATAGTATGGGGGCTAGAACTTAGGTGCTCACACTTGTTATGCTGGTATGCTATTGCTTTCCCACATGAGCCCTGCTGAATGCTGTTTATTTTAGAGATAGAATCTAGTGAACTTTTCTACTCTTGTTTCCAGCTGTGACCCTGAGACTCCAGAGTAGCTGAGATTATAAGTATGAGCCACTGGTACATGCAGTTTTCTAAATGTAGGAACCCCCAATGTGTATACTGAATTGTCAAGCCTTTCCTCTCTCTCAGGTTCTTGAATGGAATACATGCTTAAGTATTACCAGAAAAATAAAGTCGAATTATAACCAATTAAGCCTAGGGAATTGGCCTCAACTCCATGTGTAAATTTCTAGTCAGGTAATCCTAAAGAAAATGTATTTACCTAAACTGATCCTTCCTAAATGACCTGAAACAAAACTCTAAATAATTCTTGGATCTTAACACTTAAATTCTGTACAAGGTATAGCCATTGGAGAAGAAAGATGGGCAAATTGGGGAGAGAATATGTTCCAATGATTGGAATAGATCTGCTTTAGCCTTTGCAGGTTGCTCAACAGATGTGGACCAGGTCATTGCATTAGTACTCCAGAAAGAGAAGGAAGAAGGAAAGAGGGGGATGAGGAGAGGGAAGGGAAAGGGGAGATGGAAGAGAAAGAGGAGAGGGAAGAGAGAGAGAGAAAGAGAGAGGGGGGTGAGGGAAGGATGGAGGGGGAGAGAGGACAAGGGACAGAAGAGCAGGGTGGGGGGTGGAGTGGGGAGGGGGGTGGGGAAGGGGTGGTGGTGGTGGTACAGAGAGAAAGAACAGAAAAGCCGGAATATCATAGGTGCCTGGGCTTCTAGATTGAACTGGCCTGAGTCTCTTGTCCATAGGTTCTTGAGAACAACAAGCAAGGTAACAGAAAGACTAGGAGCTGGCTTCAACAGAATGCAAGCCCCAGTTGGCTCCCTGTGGCAGCAAGGAGTGATGTGACTCAGTCCTTGAAATATGGTTTGTTTATTCAGAGGAGAAGCTCCCACCCATGTTGGGGCTAGAGTATAACAGAAGTCAGGAAGCTCTACTTTGCCCTGTTAGGCCTCTATCTCCTTTAATACTATGCTAACATAGAGCTAATAAGTAGATACAGTTTAGGACTACTATCCTCCAGAAGCTCGGATTTATAAAAAAGGTGATAACTGATGAATGAGAATGGAGGTGTCTTTTAGAGACATGGCTGAAAGGCCTCAAATATCAGCATGCCAATTAACTTCATTTAACTCATCAATTAGCTTATTAATGAATAAATAGTGTTGCATGGGAAGGTAAAGTTTTTGTGCCACAAAACAGAGTTGTATTTAGTATTTGAGACATCATCTTTAGAGCAATTTACCTTTTTCGTATTGTAACTACCGATCATCTTTTTACCTTGATCAATTTCATCCATGTCCACATTAGCCCTGTCCCTGGGCGTGTTCTGTTCCCTTGCTGAGAAAGGAGGGGACAGGAATCAGCACAGTTATCATGTAGAGTCAATCAATGGAAGTGACAAATTCAAATGATCTGATCTTCATTTAATTCTAATATTGATATGATTAATTTTAGGAGTGCTTATATCAACAAATTACGTGAACTAACATTTTCTGCAATGTTTTCAAATGTTTTGTAATAATAGAGCTTTCCTTAATGGGTGAAAATCAAGCTTTTATCACTGTGTGTGTGGTCTCCCAAAAAGCTCTATACAAAGTGCTTAGTTCTCTGTTATATGTTTAGTTAAGTTATTCCTTTATTTAGGTAATATTTCTTTATCCAGCCAAATTAAGCACTTGGATGCAGTTTTCAAAAAAAATTCATCACCCTTTTAGATTTGTACATTGTGAACTATAAGGATAAAAGAAAACGAAGTACAGTGTCTTATATGTGATAATAGAACAATAAAATCTTGTAGAATCAGCTTTCAAAGGAGACTTGTGACAAAAACGGAAGACCAAGTCCTGGTTGAACAAGACCAGGCCCAGCCATTTAATGTGGAGTAGCTTGTGGTACTGAGTGTTCCTTGAAATCCACCCTGAGTTATCACCTGGACAGTATGAGAAAGGAGAAAGGGCTGTCAGCATGGTTAAGATGGCTTCCTGATTAGCTCAGGTGAACTTTTCTCTTGTTTGGTGATATAAGTGGAAAGAATACCCTTCTTTTGTTTAATATTGGCCCATAACAAGTGCGTTCTGCCTAAGATAGCAGTGGTAGCACAAAAGTGGCAGCTGTGAAGTCCAGGGTCTGCTGGCTGTGACAATGAGTAACAACCAAGATGGATTCTTGGGCATATTGAAAACAGAATTCTGAGTGGAAGTAAACTTTCGATATCAATAGTTGGGGGGGGGTGTTGGAGGATTCTGATCTTAAACTTTAACATGACCATATATTAAAGCCTGAAGTATTCAAATTATGCCATCTCTGAACAAATACTGTGCAACCTAAGTAAGATTAAAGAAAAAAGGCCTTTGTATTCTGAAAGAATAGACATTTTCCTTTCTTCCCTATGGACCATGATTTTTCCAGAAGTCAATCTCAAGCCATTAAATGTGTTATAAAATAGTTCAGTGAGTTAGCTAAAATGGGGTAAAGTAGAATCACCTGATGAATGGATCACTGTTTTATAAGCCTTTTGAAATTATATAAACTTATAAGGTTGGCTAAAATGTAAATGTAAAGCTAGAGTAGTTTAATATTTAGGACAATTCTTTACTAAGTATCTTTGACATATACTCTAATTTTAGAACATATTATGCAAGTAAGTTTAATCTGGTGCCATTTTGTACAACCTTATTTTTTTTCTTACATGGGTCAAACTTACTTGAAATGCCCATTAATGTTGTAGCCCCTGGAACTAAACAATGGAACTAATTTAGCTATAGTTGGATATGAGAACTAAAATTTTTAAAAAACTTTTTCCCAAGCTCAGATTTGAGCTATAATCTATTTTTTGGTTCATGTGTACTATAGTCTCAGTGTCTCTTCCAGACTCATAAGTTAAAGTCTTCACCTCCAGGGTGATGGTAAGAAGAGGCAGAGCTTTGAGGATGTGATTAAGTCATAAGGCCCCACCCTCAGGAATCAGGTTAGTGACTTTGTATTAAAAGGCATGAGGGAAGCTTTTCTTCCCTTTTGCTATGTGAGAATGCAAAAACAAGGCTTAGGAGCAAAGCACAAGACCTTGCCAGACAACATTTTTTTTCATTTTTATAGCTTTATTACATTTGAGATTATAATTTATTAAAGAGAAACATTCTTGCAGTGACTAATAAAATGTAAGCCAAGATTTATCTTTGTTATATAGTCAAATTTCTAAGTATAGTTCTAAGAGCAGTTTTTCTTTTTTTTTTAATATGACTTTTTATTGTAAAAATACTATACAGAGGGGTTACAGTTACATGAGTAAGGTATCAAGCATTGTTGCCTCCTCCTTTGTTTTTCCTCTACCATCGCTTCCCTCTCTACCTCACCAACTCCTCCCACACCCCCTCCCCCCACATACACACACTGAAGTTGTAAAGTTCATTTTCAACATAGGTCTTGTACATCTCACTGTTACAATGGGTCAACCTGTATCCTTATTTCAGCATTTTGTTATTTCCCTTCCCCTCCCCAAATTAGAAAAATGTATATGCAAGATGCAGGGCACGGACATAAAATACAGTGAAAACAGGTTATACCTTGGGGAAGAACCAAAGAAACAAAAAAATCACATAGTACATTATAAACATGTTTTAAAAAAACAATAGCAGGGCTGGGAAGGTAGCTCAGTGGTAGAGCGCTTGCCTTGCATGCATGAGGCCCTGGGTTCAATTCCTCAGCACCACATAAGCAAAGAGGAAAAAAAGCTGGAAGTGGCGCAGTGGCTCAAGTGGTAGAGCACTAGCCTTGAGCTGAAGAGCTGAGGGACAGCACCCAGGCCCAGAGTTCAGGCCCCACGACCAGACCCCAAAAATTAGCAAGAAAGAAAAAAACCACTTGTGTCTATCTTGGGGTTCATTTCCCTTAACATCATCTTATATGGTCATATGTACATAGCTTTTGACCTTTTCTGCTTGTCCTAGACATATACTAGATATTGCCAATAAGGGAAACCATAGGATCTATGTTTCTTTGGGCCTGGCTTACTTCACTTAATAGAATATTTTCCAAGTCTTTCCATTTCCTAACAAATGGGATGGTGCCATTCTTTCTGATGGAGGCATAAAATTCCATTATATATATATATATATATATATATATATATATATATAATATTTTCTTGATCCATTCATCTACTGAGGGACATCTGGGTTGCTTCCATATCTTAGCTATGGTGAATAATGCTGCAATAAACATAGTTGTGCTGGTAGTTTTAGTATAGTCTTGTTTGTGATCCTTTGGGTAAATGCCCAAAAGTGGGATTG